GGGACCACCACTTAATTGCCTATAATATAGGAGTCTTTCCTAATTGAGGTTTGCTAGCCTACCATTCCTTAAGCAAATATTCAACTCTGAGGTTTTCTGATAATCATGGCCAACAATGACAGAAAGTAAAAGGGCTTGATTCTAATGTTTTTCTTACCTCTTTTCCATTTAGAACTAAGTACAGGAAATAAAACTCCACAGAGTAGGGATTTTAAAAGTAATTGGCTCTACACCTTGCTCTAAGTTAACATTCCTGATGAACAGCCAAGAAGACAGCTTTATTATTTCTAGTGATGGCAAGATTATTTTCCAGGGGGCCCAACCAATTTCAGACAGTAAGCTCAAGCCTGCCTGTTGAAACACCCACCTGGCTGTTCAGATAGAGTATAAAATAGATTGTCTAGTTAGGTAGGTATTTAGCATAACTACCCTATATAAATGGAGCACAATAAGTCTGTTGTCACCTTTTCCTGTCTATTCTAGTTATAGAAATACTGCCTAAAATTTCATTATCTTTTGTGGTAGGCCTGTCACTTGCTAACCAAAACTATAAATGCAGTCAACTAATATACCAAGGTATTTTTACTCTACCTACTCAACCCTCCTAAATTTACATACATGTTCTTTCAATTTCTATACATGCTTCAGATTATTAAATCTACAAATGCTGTCATCCAGTAGTAGCTATGACTTTCTGCTTTAATGTCATCTGAACATTTTATAAGCATGTTCTTAGGTTTTCATCTAAATCAGAGATCCAGTACTAAAAGGTGATAGGTCATTAAAAACTTGTCCTCTAATTTTTAGTTTCTTTGATTATCCTATACTTGATATTCTTAACTGGAATAGGTAAAAATGTAATCAGAGAATAAATTATGTCAATACTACATACAAATAACTAGGAAATATATTTGGGGAGGCTCTAAAACAGTTCAGGTTCATATCCACAAGGGTCTTAACAACATAATCATTAGAAGAGGGCATTAAACCACTAACCACCTCAAGAAAGTAAGCCGCTACTTGTGATTCATTAAAATTGTGTAGCTCAGATCTACAATTATGCTTAATTATAATGGATGTCTCAAACATAATACGGGTCAAAGATGACATAAACAGAATTCACAGTGTATGATTCCACTATTATAAGTTGGAGGATAGAAAGTGATGGGAAGCGGTCATAGAGAAGCTTATGATATTCTGTACCTTGATCTGGGTGCTGGGTACAAAGGTGTGTTAAGTGTGAGCTGTACATACATGAATGGTGTACTTTGCTGATATAAATTATACTCTCATAAAAAAGATTTTTCAAAAGTCCTATCACTAAGCATTCAAAAACTAGCCAAGTTCTGACACCTAACTTTGGGGTGTCAAAAGTTAACAAGTGGGTGTTATGATGAATCAAAGCTTCTTGGAGGATGAGTAAAATAAAACAGTCTCATACAAGCATCAGCTTAATTCTTATTTATTCCTAATTTCAAAAATAAAATCCCATAGGGAAAAATGACAGAAAATACTGGAAGCCTTTTCTAACACAAAATACTTTAGTTTGTTTTAAAAAAGAATTTTTAAAATCTAATCATTCAAAAACTAGCTATAAATAAGTAATTATTGGGTAAAATTTAAGCAAAATCATCAAGTATCTAGTAAAAGACATACCATAAACTTAGATGTTATGAGTTCATAACCCATGTACACTACTTTCCTTATTTATTTCTCTTAAAATATTGGTGCTATCAAGAACAAGCAGACTCATGGGGATGGTACACCTAGCAACTGTTACTCTCATTTGTTGACTGCATTTATGCATTTTCTTCATTAAGGCAGAAATACTGCAAGTTGTTTATCAATTAGGTTAAATCCTCACAAGCTACCTGATTTCCTTGTTTAGTCTACCTGAGCTCAATTTCTTCCCTCTAGTACTCTTTTACCTCACTGACCTAATGATATTTATAAGACAGTGAAATTGTTTGCTATAAATTCTTATTCTGAACTTTTGCAGACAAAGGAATCACAAGGAGTGCCTGCTCCCCAGTGGCCAACAAGGTAAATTTCTAAACTAATTCTATCGATTTTTCAAAGCAATGCCAATAATTAAATAAGGAAAGCTGTACTATAAAACAGAAAAACAGGAAGTCAAATTTTAAAGCTACTATGGTGAAATGCTTATAGTCTATGATATCACTAACAATGTATTTCTTCCTGGTAAAGATAATCTTTAGAAAGCTAACCATGGAGGTTAACCATGGACTAATAAATAGTCCATGAAGTTCCAGATGAAAACATCTGGAGTTCCTAAGAAAGGCTTTTATTATTTTTGAGATATCAATATCTATTGTCCTTATACTTGGTGATGGTTTCATCTCATTGATTCCCTGAGGACTCTGCAAATGACAAATGGGGGAGCCAGAAAACTATGATGGCACCTACAAGAAAAAGGAAAGAAAAGAGAATATCTAAATACAGGCAGAAGCAGACTGATTAATGAAAAGCTTCTCAATTTGGTAATTCTAATTTAAATAAGGAAGAAAACAGAGGGGCAATGTGAGAACTCGGTCCATGTGAGAAAGGTTTATTAGTTACCTATATTTTAATTAAAAGATACTTTGTGAAAAGAATTCTAGAAAAAGATTCCAATCTTTCAATTAAGGCAAAATGAGGGATCTTAAGATTTCTAGGACAGGTTTAATGAAAATTGGCATAGGACTTAAAAGCTGCCCCTCCTGAAAACAATTTCCAAGACTTCTTAAATAGGAGCCTGAAATAGGCAGATTTATACCTCAAAGCAAGTAGATGATGTAAGGGATTTACAGTCCTTTAACCTCATGAATGGTTCTATTTAATAGAATCATCACAGCAAAATACTTACTTGCCAAATTACTTGTAAAATTTAAAAAAAATTCTAAATTTATAATAGTGAAAAACAAACATGGTAATTTGGTGAGATCTAACAAAAACAAGGTAAGGAGAAGTTAGATATTTTTTTAAAGCTTACCACACACAAATCTTCAACTCCTGCCTGAAATGGAAAAAAAAAAAAAAAAAAAAAGTAGTCCCACAATACTTTTTTAGCTAATTAAAAAGTCTAGATATCTGTCAAGTGAAGTTGTAGACAGCTGGAGCTAAAAAAGCTAGTCACTATTACTGTTCTAAATTAAAAATTTAATAAGCTGGTTAAAAAGTTACATGGAAGCCACTAGTCAGTTTCTGCCAGGTTGGGCTTATCACCTTGGTACCACCAGGCCAACTTATAGTAAAGAATGGCTGATCTAGAATTATGAATTCTGATTATATTTTAGTTTTAACATACTATAGACAAGTATCCATTAACTTCTTTGGCTCTGGACAACAGGCTCCAAGGAGAAGAGAATATATTTTCAACCCATGAGAAACTACAGATACAGCAACTTGCCTCATTTCTGATACCTTAAATGTTTCTGGTATCTAAAAAATAAAACAGATAAGGAGTATTTAGCTGTAAAAACAAATGAGAAGCAAGCCATTTCTATGGCTGTTTTATAATGAAACAAAAGAAATCTTTTAGTATTAAATCCAAATGATAAAAAAACTAAGGCTCAAACCTTTCTACACTGATTTGATGAAAACAATATATATCATTCACATTGATGTCACAATGTGACACAAAAGTTCACAGCTCACAAAAAGTTAGCTATTTGAAATAAATTACCATATATCTGAAAACTATTCTTATATTTCTATATAGAGTGTTATTTTTTCTTCTTTTCTAAGGGAAAGCATAAAGTATACCCCAAAGTACTCACCCTGGCTACATTTGGCAAGCCATTTGGATGATTAAACCATCATGCTTATTTCATGTCACAATTTACCTTTATGTCTTAATTTACTGCTAGAGCTGAATAATTTATTTATTAATATGAGCAAAAAAAATTAAAACTGAATTTATAAACATGGTACTATAAATTTTAAAACTTCTGCAAGTAACTATTTAAAAACATTTTTAGTAAGAAACACATCACCAAAAAGAAAGTTTGTTAGAAAATTTCTTTAGAGTGACACACATAGCAAATCAAGCCAAAGAATTAAAAGACTGTTACCATTTCTAGGCAATGCAGACCACGTCTTAACATGACATGTTAAGCATGACATGCACTTAGCAATACTCTTTTCTAATGAAAGAGATGGAGTTGAGTCCACAAGTGTTATCCAAACTATGCCAGAGGACAAAAACACGTTGCCAGGCAGAATTAAAAGAATTTTACAAAGCTTTGTGAGAATTTTAAAAACATCATTTGCGCTCAACTTCTATTAATTAGACACAGAATAATGGAGTGCTAATAAATATTCAGCAAAATAACAGAGCATATACTAGTAAAATGTGTATTAAGCAGAAAGATAAACCAAAGTTTCTCTTACATAAATGAACTCAAAATTTCATTCAGTATTTTTAAAAGTTAAAAATAAACTTTACACATTTCTGTGAGAAGACAAACTGTTTTAGGGGTTTACATAACTGTAATGCAGATCTAGTTAATTCTAGCCAACAAGCTTAATGGTAAAGTTTCTCACCAAGAGTTAAACGATGACTGCTACTTTAATTCCTTGGTATTGTCCCTCCTCGAACTTCTTAATATAAAATAACATTTTGCTTTGAGTCACTAAGGCTCTTACAGAGAAATAAAAATAGCACAAAATTTAAATAACTGTAGGTAGTTTATTTTATAGTATTTTTTACATTAAAATACACAAGGGTAAGTAAATGTTTCATATAATGAAATCCAATAGAATATGTAAATCCTTCCAAAAATAAATATAATTAAAAGTTCAGTAAGAAGAAATGTTTTATATACTCTAAAATACAGACTGCCCTTTTGGTTTATTTTGCTGCTTTGTCCCATGCTAGATTCATAATCCCTTCCCCACCAATAACAAAGATCAGTTTTAGTGATGAGAAACCAGTACAGTGCAAAGCAATTCATGCATACACCTTTGCATGTATGCATTCCATATGTAAGTATTCATACCTATCCCAGAGGTTCTTTGATTCCTGAAACGTGTTCAAATGGAACGCTTGGTAGAAAGCAGTTGAAGGATTCCTGTGAGATCCAAGAATCAAATGGAAACGAGGTTGAGAAAATACAGTAAAATCACTACTTTTCCCAAAGAGATGAAAGATTTTAGATTTCTAATACAGTGTAAGTGCTTCAATAGAGAGAAAAAGGCGCAATAAAGTTGCTTGAAAGCATTGTGAAAGTAATTAAAACTGGACAAAATCCAGCAGACCCTGACAATTTAGGATCATATTTCTAAAAGAAAAGGGTAACAGAAATAAAATCAAATGTTAACTAGTATTCAATTGTGTTTGTGGATATACACTCATACACATGCAAGTGTGTCTAGTTCATTGCCTAATGAACACTACTCTGTATCAGATGCCTTCATAAATCCCTATTTGTTTAGCAGTTCAATAAAGCTGTTCTAAGGTACATGTAAAATAAGCTGAGATGTACCTTCATAATACAAAAATCTTTCATTGGATCTATTGGATAGGGTTTGATGATGAACGAGTCCTTTCCTAGGCTGGACTTTACTAAATTTCCACCTTCAAAACCATTTATTTATGTGTGGTTTCTCTGGGTTAGGGCAAAAAATGGTGCTGTAATTGTATGGCAGCTTTCTAATTTCTAGAATCAGTAGTGTGCCCCTTTAAGGGGTAATAGCTTATGTACCTAATTACCTTCCATTTCTACTAGTCCCTGGTGACACTTTCCCTAGGGCTATAACCATAGAATCTTAACTGATGAGCTCATCTGGGCAAGCTCCCAGGAAGCATGATTCATTTCACATCTCGGGAGTGGCTTCTCAGGGGACTAAACTTTTGACAAACCTGCTCTCTAACAGTTCCTCCTCTAGCTCAGCATATTTCCAAAGTTTCTCCCACCCCCAACCTGTATGTTAGAGAACTAACAAAAACTTGAAACACCATTTCTCAAATTCTTGATCCATGCTGTAGCAGAATAACACAGCAAGCTAAGAATATATGTGCTTATTATATACCAGACACTACTCTAAGTGTTTTATACTCATTAACTCAATTCTACAACAGCCCCAAGAGATAGGTGCTATTACTATTCCCATCACACAGACAATGAAACTGGGTCAGATAGAAGCCTTACATTATAGAGTTAGTAGGTTGCAATCTGGTCCCAAAGTTCATGCTCTTAAACTACAATGCTAAACATATAGCAGAGTTAAAATTTAACCTCTCTAGGCTGTCACTTTATCAGTTAAATAATGATATTACTATCTACCCTTGCAGGGTGGTTCAAGAACTGAGACTATATGTTAAGTTCCTGGCACAGAATCAATGTTCAAAAATGTTCAATGTAAATAGCAGCTATTATTTTATCATCAAAATGAGGTTCAGATACAATATGACAATTCTGAGACCCTAACAAGTACCTTAAGAGAATCTCTGCAGTATTATTAGTACAATAAGAAAACTATTTCCAAGCTTCAATGGAATAGCAATCAAGTATGAATGATCATCAAACAAGTAATAGAATTGTATGGTTTCAAATATAAAATTAAGACCCACGGTGTTATCTACTGAATTTTTAAAACACATTTGTAAGAGGCATTTTTAACTTTAACCAGTAGGGCATCTCTTAGATGATCCAAAACTAGATGCCAGAGTGTCACCAAAGGTTTGATTAATAAGGAGTCTACAGTATGTGTACTTTTCTTTGCTTGTCCTACTTCAACTCCTTTCTATTCTTTTAACCCTTTATTTTTTTCTTGACTGGGTTTAAGGCAATCAAAAGCAATGATTAGACCTACTAATATTAGGAAAGGATTAAGAGGCTGCTAACTGCTGTTTATTTAACAGCTTGTATCCTCTCAAGATATATTTGTTAGGTCTCTTTTTTTTACTGTACTTAGAATAGGTCTGCCAAATTAAATGAAAGGCAACTGAACCAATTGAAAACTGAACCTGGCTTTTTTACAAGGCTTACCCAGGACCATATGGGAACAAGTATGCTATTCACATAGGTCTGTTTGGAGACCATGGGTTTAAAATAAACAGAATGACTTGAAAAGCGAGGTAGTAAATACAAGACAGTAACAAAGAGTAAACTTGGAAGTTATTCTGCAAGTCTGAAATTTAAGATTCATTAAGTAGTATTTATAATATATTTATAAGGATGGCATTCTTTAAAAGAAGAACTTCAGATCCTGACTTTAGAAAAACATACATACATATTTAATTTGAATCAAATTTGTATGCCAAATAAATCTGTTTTAAAGGAAGTCATATGATTTAAGTTACAAAATTCCAGTATTTTTACAGCATAGACTATTAATGAAATGTTCTCATAAGTCAAATGTAGAAGTGAAAAAAGATCTTATTTGCAGTTAGTCGTTTTTCTTGGGGTGAGAAAGGAACCTGTGAAATAAAATACTATAAATGGACCTAAATGTCAGAACAAATACACTTAGGTTGCAAAAGTTTGCAGTTAACAATCAGTTTCTACATATATTAAAAATGAAGAAACTATATGGAATTACATAATCTATGCACTAGAGAAAATTTTAAACAGTGCATATTGCAAGGATAAAGACAGTTGTATAAAATATAAAATCTCTGGTTTCTTTAATACTTCAGCTAACCTGTTATAAATAAATTAAAGGATTTTTAGCAAATTGTAACAGTAATTAGTCTCAAAACACTGATTAACAGGCACAGATTAAAGGAGTCAAGTTTGTGAAACCTAGCTGATCCAGAACTTCAAAAGAGCCACTTGTGAATACTGACCAGCATGACTATTTTTCAAAACCAATGAACAAAGTATATTCTTTTCTCCCTGACTTTATGTACTACATAGTCTTTCATGCTTGTTTCCAAGTACATGAAAGCAATATATCATAAAGTTGATGCAAATGTGACATATGTCTATCTTTGCAGGGTAACTATAACAGAGAGAAAAAACATGTATACTGTACATCAAAACTAAGCTACAAAAGTCAAAGTTTTAAGGTTAAGGTACATACATGAGCCCTGAAATATGCAAATTTCTTCTTCTCTTTCAAACCTCAACTTTAGAGATCTCAAAATAAAACCAGGGAAATACAATAAGCAGAAAACAACAAGGGACATCTCCAACATTATCATCTAGGAATTTAAAATGATTAAAAATATCCTTCAAGTAAAGGGTTACAATACAAACAGATCGTGGCTACAGGTTTCCCTTCCTCCTATTTTACAGTCAGCAAAGTAATAAAATAAACTCTGGCAATCTCCAAGATCACTGGCTTTGGGAGCAGAATGCCTGAGTCTGAATCTATGCTTTGTCACTTAATAGCTATGTGAGTCGAGTCCTCAGAGCCTCAGTTTCTTTCATTTATAAAGAGGGGACAAAAACACTTCCTTAGAGTTGCTTAAAAGATAAATCAGGTTATGTATGCATAGGGCTTAACACAAGCTTGATTTGTGTTTAATGTAGGGTTAGTTACAGTTTTTAAAGTTCTGCTGTACCAAAAATCAATCTTTGGTAGAATATCTTAACATGCACCAAAATATTTAATCATTTTAAGGTAATATTGAGGCAAACAAGCTATTTAAAGCAAACAGAATACTTAAGCTACAGTTAGGTATACCAAGCTATTTAGTACTTTTTATTGGATGGGAATCCTGAGTTCTGGGAGCCAGAGTTCCCCCAGGATTTCCTTATACAAAATTTTATCACAAGATTTTAATTACAAGTAGAATATTCATTGAAAAGTATACTATAATGGTTCCAAGATATGTACTACTTTAATAATAAAGCTTCAAAAAACGCCTTTAATAGCAACCATACACTAATGATAAAAATCTCAGTTCCTTACCATGACATTTAAGCCCTTTGCTCTGGTTCCTGTCAAATTAATCACATCATTTCCCAAACGTGACATATTTTCACTCTTCCACTGTTATACAAACTGCCTTCTCCCTCTACTTGGAAAATCATCCCCTTCTTTTATCAGTGACTTAATATGAATGACCCTTTTAAGACAGTTCAAGAGTTAGCTTCAGAAGAATGCATAATAAAGGGTTGCATCTAAGGATGCAAACTGGGTGACTTGGAGGAAAGAGGTGTCAGAGGTGCTTTCAATTTATACTCTTGTACATTCAAAAATTTTTTAACTTTATAAATGTATTACCTATGCAGAGAATAAATTAACTTGAAGGGAAGGACCAGTTTGACATATGGATATCCTGAACTGTTCCCATTAGCGCCTTATATTTACAAATTATTTTCATACAGCCCGAGATCTTTAAGGATAGTCCTATTTCTGTATCCCAATACTTACTACTCAGTACAAAGATAGTTGAATGACTGACATGCTGGGGCTTTAAATGTTTTCTTGCGTAAGAAAACATTTAAAGCCCCAGCATGTCAGTCATTCAACCTACTTACCAAGTATTTGTAAACTTCATTTGGGGGCACACAATAGTTTGGTGGTAAGAAAAGGGTACGGCAACAGAAAGGCTTGAGTTGGCAGCTCTCTTACAAAACATGTCTAAATGTACGAACTAATATATAGGGAACTTTGAAATCTTATGAAGTCTCAAATTCTAATGTTACCAATGAGGAAAACTGAAAGAAGTTAAATGACTTGACCAAAAAAACCAATTAAGTGGTACAAGAGCCAGGATCAGAACATTAATTTGTTTACTTCTTACTACATCAAGACTTCCCAGCCTACAACAATGTCTTCTTTTCTGATTATATCCATACCATGCAATTACACTTTCAGATCAAAACTGAAGACTCATGGTACGATTTGTAGCTTGTCAAGGGGTGACATAGGAGAGCAGTTTGGACACTGAAATACTGAGGCTTCTATGATATATGCTTGCCATACATACTGCCTTATGTTGTGTATGGATTGTTCACAAGTTATTTGCATAACTCATTTAATTCTCTCAAAGGGAGGTATTATCCCCATTTTTCATATAGGAAAATAAGAGGCTTAGAGGGCTGAATAAATAGCTCAAGGACAAATACCTCAAATATGCAGCAAAGTTGGATTTGGTCCCAGGCATGTCTGACTT